AAATATGTTCCCTACATTATTCTCTGATTTTCAAGGCAAAACATGAATTGTATGAGTTCATCCAATGCGGAGAAAATATTCTACAAACCTAAGTATACGTTCAGTTAACAAACGCACTACTTCTAAGCTTAATTTAGAAGTTACCTGTTTAATACCAAACATGTGCTATGTGCTTTTGGATAATTAGTTTTAAGAAATAAGTACGTCGGTTGCTATTACAGCGTACAAGTTCCCAAACTTCCACTTGATTCAGAATATTCAAGTACATATAACTATATGCTTCTAAAGTTTCCAGGCTTAATGAATGACATAGCATTACCATACTTTTGAGTTTGCGAGTTTCGAATTTTGCGGCAACATGCAAGTGTTTTATACCGATGTAGAGCATGAAAGAGACGAGAACTAAAATATTCTATAAGTTATCTGCATGTCTTTATGTAATTAGATACCCTGACGAGTGGTTGCTTTGTGTACGACAAGGATTTGTTCAACATTTTCTCTTTTCGATGTTTTCAGCTTAATTTGAGACACTAATTCTTACCAAATAACTCCAGGCGAACAAATATGCTGAAAGTAGGCGGAGTACAGACCTGACACTCATATTGACCTGCATCGGATACTTTAGCAAATCTTACATGTAAGCTCCAGATCTGAAAATTGATTAATTGATGTGTTAATTCTTATCTTGTGGAATACTTTGAAGATGCTCAAGTACTATCCACAATAACAGATCTTAGTACGCGAATAGAAAGTAATTCTTGCAGCAAATTTTTGCCGGAATTTTGGGCAGCTTTTCCAGTATATATTTTAGTTGAACTATCTTCAAAGCAAGTACCTACTTAAAAAGTTAGGTATTTGACAAAGTCTATTATTAAATAGAATCAATACATAAACATTTAGTGCTATGTAATATGCAATCCAATTCCAATAATAATTTATAAATAATAATAAATAATTTATCTAGTACACACTTACTCTGGAATTATTGTGATTCACCGTTAGAAATCGTTTGTCGTCCACAAGGGTGTTGGTGTTTTCCGTTAACACCGTAAAAGTACTCAGGTTTCCACGCATTTCATTTTTGACCCAAAGCACCTAAAAGTGTTCTACAGGTGGAATTGTCTGACAGTAAACTTAGAACGATTTTCTCAAAAATTGCCCTAACTCAACCTTTGAGAGAAATAATTAAAAAATAACTAGATATTCAATTTTTCCATATGTTTTGTGAGGAGTCAAGCTACTGGACTACCTGTCAAGCTACTGAACTAAAGCGACAGTGTTTTAAAGCATTTGGAAAAAAAGTATGGCTACATTGAATATCCATTGGGTACAGAAACTTCGAACGCATCCATAGGATTTTCGATCTAACGGGTCTAAAAACGTTTTATCCCTTAATGAATAATAATTGTGACCATCATTAAGTGTCTTAGCAGCATATACTGCTTCACATTTTAATAGGTCAAAATTTATTTTGAAAGATGTATTTTGTAAATGTATTTGTAAATACCTATCGTTTCTCTTTAACTTGAATAATTTCTTAACGTGGAAGTTTGAAAATATCTATTCATTTTGTCGAATAATTTTTTTTTCCCGAATATTTGGATAATGAAAATAGTTGATGGACTTCACACATCTTGGGAATTACCGTAACGTTATTTAATCCCACATTGCATTCCAGTATCACATTGGTGCCTATCATTCCAATTACCACTGTATTATTTTCTATTCGTTCCTTCTGTTTCGGAACTCTTTCAACTTTTTGCACCTTTCGCATATGCTGTGCAGGCCGATTTTTATTTTGATCAACGGCACCTGGTTCATCTGGAAAACGCAATAAATATAATTAATGATTAATTAAAATATTAGATTAGAATTGTGACCAAAATATATTTACAAAGAAAGATATTCTTAGTTCATAGTCAGTGCTTTCACTGAAATACTGGAATTCACGTTTACTGCTAAAAGAGCGTCCTAAAACTAGTCGAACTCAACAATAACCATCTCTAACAAAACTGATTTTTCCTATACTAATGAAAATAAAATAAATAATCCGTTTTTAAAATTTAAACTGAAACAGGCAAACAAAAGAGCCGTAGATTTTTAAAATACATTCCAGTCGGCGGGCTACCCTCAATAATTGCCCTCTTTCCGGATGTCAAACAAAATATAAATTTTGTGCCATTTCTTTGTTTTTTCCACTTTCAATATAAACTGATATCATATGAGTCATTTTGACAAACTAATACGTAAAAATTAATTTTACCTTAAATGTTAATATCAACTAGAATGTCAACATCCTTTAGTTGGTGATAGATGTTGCTTTCTATGTTTGGGTGATCGGTCAAAAATGAGACCACTGTTTCCGTTTGCTGCTGTTTTTTGATACAAAAAAATATTACACTTGTCCAAAAAAGAACTTAAAAATCATACAAAAAATGTCAACAAAATGAGCATTTGAGCCCTAATCTTTGTTCAATTTTTTGTAATAATTGATGATTCCATTCAAATAGTTGGTGATCGCAGTTTGCCAAACTGTGCCTCGCATTTTCATTTCAAATTAAAAGTTAGTGAATTATTAATGTACATATATACAGGGTTATCCACGTTATACGGCACGGAAGTTTGCGGCTAAACCGTTTGATTTTTAAAAAGTATTATTTTATGAATTAACCGACGCCTACCGAGCGCACATTTTAAAAATATTTTCGTAATGTACAGGATGTCCCAAAAGCTCTAACGGTATCAAAGTTGGGTTTTTTTTTAATGGAATGTCCTGTATATTATTGCATTTTTGGATTTGCTGAACAAAATAATATAATAGTGTCTGTTTTAATAAGGTTTATAACACCTAAATCTTAAGGTTTTTTAAATAATACGACATTAATCAAATTCTAATCTAATTTATAATAATACAATTAAGTATTTAAGTTATGTAAGCGTGATTTATAGTGGAGTGTAACAAGATATATTATTTTATATCCCAATGATAATAAACTTACCATGTTATACAGGGTGTCCACAAATTTAAACTAATCAAATAAGAACTTTAAGTGGCTCTGACTTGATTAATTTAAATACAACTCCATATTTTTTAACTTACCAGAAAATGCAATTTTTAATTACCTCTCGAATGGTATTAGGATGTTAATAGCTAAGTTTTTGCCTTTTTACATAATACGTCAAATAGTCGTTCTGTGCACCATTTGGTGTATTTCAATTTAAGGATCCAATGTATCTAAGTTGCCTATACCATTTACACATGTCAAATCATTTATTTTATTTGTCAGTTTAGACTGCAAAGTCTCTTTTTCATAACTAGAGTGGTATTGTTTTTTTGTAATTGTAGACGTGTTGGTCGTTATTTTAATATTATTATTGTGTTGCTAAGTGAAAATGAAGAATTATCCAAGAGAAGAGCGTATTGACATGATTTTCACCCTTGGAGAATGTCATGAAAATTGTTTATTTGCTTCTCGAGTTTATGCTCAAAAGTTTCCTGAAACAAATCATCTTAAGCCAACAGTTTTTAAGCGCTTATTACACCAATTTGAGGAAAGTGGGAGTGTCAGGAAAAGATTTGATGTCTAATTCAACATGAAAAGACACCTGTCAAATATTTTTTGTAAACAATGCAATTATCGTTGAGTGATAATTGCACACTGTGCAATTACCGCTGTAATTTTTCGATAATTTCACACTTCAAACGGACAGATTATCATACGAAGGAAATATTCACGGTATTTGGTTCAGTTATCGAAAATCCCAATGTTAGTCAAAATCTAATATCAAAAGGTACTAACATTAGTCAATCAAGTATTTCCAGAATTATCAAAAAGTACAACTTTTAT